GTTCAGAAAACAAGTCTTCAAATGTCTTTGCTGGAAAAGGTTTGTTAACACCAGACACCTGAGCCCTCGTGGTTAAGAGAGAGAGCTTCTAATGCCTGAATTCAGATAGGGCTTCCTTTTGGTTTTTTGGAAATATACCAAGCCACGTGAAGAATCTGCCTGAGCAGGAGCACAAATAAATGCCCTGAAAGAATCTCACCATGCCTAGGAAGGAACTGAGACAGCCATAAAGCAGGGAAAGCGGTGGAGAGACGCCACAGTCGCAGGGACAGTCTGGCTGGAAACTTGAACCAAAAAGTTTCACTGAAGTTTTGAAAGTGTTGCTCTGATCTGTGAGTTATAGGAGGCTCTTTTGCTTTCATTACTGATAGCCCTGCTCAGGTGTGTACATGCTGGTCAGCACGTTAGACGAGAGCTACAGAACCGTCTTAGCTCAGGCTACACGAGGAAATAATCCATCCCTGGAGCGGACACTCCTTACTGACTGTTTGCCATGGGTGATCATATGATAAGGATTACATTGCTCTATCCCTACCACGTCCATTGTCTGAACTCTCCCCACCAACTTGCAGGGCACTTCTACTTTTGCCAGCAGATCTACATGCTCGGGTTATGCAAGTGGCTTGGGTGTGGCTGGCTCTGAAGTTACTATATTCTCTCTTGTTGGCTTAGTTAGCCGAGAAAAATGTTTTTTTTTTTTAAAAGTTCCTCACTTCTGAAATAACGAGGCCAAATTCTGCTCTGCAACGTGGGAGCAAAGGGAGCTGGAATTTCAAAAGGGAGCCACCCACACACATCAGAGGACAGAATGTGGCTTTAAACTCAATGCTCAGCTAACGTGTGACGCCCAACTCTGTGGCCGGGCGGGAAGCAGGAATCCAAGCCGTTTGGACAAGCGACTGTTATATTGCTCAAATGGAAATATCTAGGAGTAAAGACACACAAAAAGGAAACACACAGGCTATTTCATGCCTGCAGCTTCAGACCACTAGCTGATGGCTCCGCCTTCCAGCCTGACCGGAACAGTGTGACACCGATTTCCTCGAGGGTCATCTGTGCTCTGATCACCTAGGAGACCAGCCTCCGCCGAAGTCTTTGCACAGATGCAAGACGTGAATGTGGCCGCACTGAGAGGTTCAATTTCCAACTGTGTCCTGAACTCTCAGCTCCATTCTTTTCCATCCCTTCACCTCTCTTTTAAAGTACACTCATGCAAAAGTTACATCTATCTGCCTCTGAACACACACACACACACACACACACACACACACACACACACATTTTGAAGACAGAATAAATAACAACTGGAACGAATCATTTTCTCTC